GTTGCAAATGTTTTTTTTTCAATTCACATTTAAACCACTTACTACATAAAACCAAACGCACAAAGTTCTGCACTTCCAACAATAGAAGGATACAGGCACTGAGAAAAGAGAGAAAATAATAAATTGATAAAACCAAACTTATAAGACTGGAGCATTATGATATTCCATCCCTCAAAGTATTACAATAAGATTATCAAGATATAAGAGTCTAGACATTTTGAAGAGGTGCCATTGACGAATGGCAAAGCGATATGTTGACTATAAATAAACATTTATTTATTGATGAAATGTATGAATTGTAATATTAGAGATGTTTATTAAAATTATTATCTGATACATATAAGCTGATAATTATTTTCATGTTATGTATGAAATTAATTAAATAAGTTGTTTTAAATTCTAAAACTGATTTACTCTGGTAAAAATGTAGAATAATTTTTTATGGTGTTAAATTAGTGATTTTAAAGATTTACTAAGTTTATTTTAGATGTTGGCAAAGGTAAGGTTTAGATGGCATCTAAATGTAACAACAGAGAGTATGAGCATACACAAATTCAATTTACATTACCGTCCAATAGAACTAAAAATAATCCAATAACACTTGGTAATCAATGGTGATACAGACACAGCTTGCATTAGTGATGGGAAGTTCAGATCATTTTACTGACTCTGTTCTTTGAATCTCTGAATCTTTTTTTCAAGTCATTTAGCTACAAGTTAATATCCTAATTCCTCAACACATTTGCATACACAAACACTGATCACGTTGAATAAGTCGAAACTATAATGTAGCAAGACCAAATTGCATGTAACAGAAATGATTATTTCAGTGCTTAGCTGGGTTTGCAGGCTATGCAGTCTGTTAGTTCACCTCAGCTCCCGGGCCAGAGTCGTTTGTTCTTATGTCACACCTCATCCCCATAGGTTAATGCTATGTAGTCTGTACAGGAAACAGAATTGATTAGTCGGGAGAACCTATAGGATGTTGTGCATGCACGGTCAACATAGAATGAATAAATAAATCACTCTCTGAGACAACTCGTTGTTCCCGAGTCATATTAAAGATTTATTCAAAATAAATTAATCATTCAAGAACAACCCATCACTATCATGCATCCCCTTGAAAAAAAATCAGTCTATGTCCAGTATTTGAGCATGCTGTGTTTTGTTCTTAACAGAACATTAAAACTATAATGCAGCGTATTGTTAGCTTCACAGCAAAGTGTCAATAGCACTTTTTATTTGTAGTGGGTTATAAGTCAGTCACTTAAAAGGTTCTGGTTTCTGTTTGATTTCTTAGAAAGCAGTTTACTATGTAGACAGCAAGGTAGCTGACTAGATTTTGGATGGGAGCCATAATAATAATACATTTTCATTTTATTGTAATTTCTTCAGTGTGGCTAGAGGCCACAATACTTTT